AAGAGGCTGCTCACAGAAACAACAGACACAAAAGTGGAAAAAGCTACAGTCAGGAGAAAATAGTACCACTAAGCATGTTAGTCAAGGACATGAGCCAGAGTAAGGGACATAGTGTGTAAACAGGAGGATGACCCAGCACCGATGCTACAGCAATCATTGTGGATAACATGTTATTTACATGGAGATAAATACACGGAGGACAATCATACCAGAAAAAATGTCACATATTTTAGAAAGAAGTGACTTACGAGAACATGTTAGGGTAAACATTAAAACATACAAAAATGTTTTTTAAAATCTAGAATCGTTTAAAGCTATTTAATGTTATGAAAGCCAAAACTCTAGAGTACCAGTGTCTTATGGAGGAAACTGACCTCATAAATTCCAGCTGACTGGCCACCGAATAAAAAGGATAAGTGCAGAGACCACCTACAATCTAAAGAAATACAGGAGACACTCAGTTATTCAGAGGTGAGGGACGCTCTGTAAAAACTACCCTCCTGGTAAAGGCAGATCCACGTCCCAAGTATTTTAAGAGCTGTCCCACACAATTTGCAGTGAAAGGTCAGGTAGATAAAGGTACTACAGAGACCAGAAAAAGCAGGTAGACTAAAGCACAGTGAGCATCCTAAATAATTCCATCATGTCACAGAGACAGACACTAAGATTACATAGGGATTGTGAGTGACTTGGCAGTGAGGTAACAGGGAATGATATCTCCTGCCAGAAACAAGAGCCAGCACTACCTCATACGGCACATGATTTCAGAGGAGGTTGAAAAACAAACAAAAAAAAAAAAAACGGGTTGCCATTTGACATCAGGTCTGGATGGCTGTTCATGGTGATTCCAGAAATTCACCAGAACTTTTATGGAAAATTTGATAAAAGATCTTCATGTTGTTGTTTACATGGACCATTTGCTGGAGACAGGCTGAATGTAACAGGAGCACTTAGAAAAGATGCAGTTCAAAGGAAAATGCTGGCCAGTATGCTAATGCATTCTGCGTCTTTGTACCAATGGACCTTTCAACTCAATGTGTTTTTGCTTTGTGCACCATGACAGGTTACCTTTAAAGTTTGCTTAGAACTCGTAGCGTTTCCAGTTGCAGAGGGTGCTGCTAATGCGGTGCATGCCAAAATAGATTTTTTACATTTTCAATTTTTTTGAATTATTAAAGGTTAGCCCTTCATGCAAGCAAGATTATTTATTAAATTATTTATGCCTCTGGTTTTAAGGCTTGAAGGTGGTCTGAAATTATTTTGATGGCAAATCTGAGTTCCTACATGAGCCTCGATAGGCAGTTTGTTTTGGACAGTCTGAACCCCACAGCCTGCCAAGGGCAGTCCTTTCCATCGCCTTCTGTTTTAGAGGAGATAATGATTCTCTTTTACTTGGAATAGGATTGCATTTTCTATCTCTCTTGTCCTCTATTCTTCCCTCACCTTTACCTTTCCATCCCTCGCCCCACCCCCCCATCCCACCTCCTCTCGTCAGTCAGCCGCTGCTGGTGCTCCCTCCACGGTGGCGATGCTCTATCGCTCCGTCACAGCGCAAGCGAGGGATGAGAGACAAATCAAAACCACCTTATTTCCCCTCAGTCCCTCTCACCATGCCAGATTGAATTTGAGGTTTTTCATCTTATTTCTCATCTTTCTCTTTTCCCTGCCTCCCTTGGCGTCCACTCAAAATTACCTGGAACCAAGCCGTCTCACAACTTGATGACGCAGTATCGTTTATGCATGTGGAGGGAGATAGTAGCGGCCCTCACTGTTTATTCTTTTGACTCACTTTAAATCCTCTGCATCAGTTTTGTGTGTTCCAAAATGGTCAATACCAAAATCTATCAAGGATCCTGCCTTCCCTTCACCAGTGCCTTTCATGCATGCAAATGTCCAAGTTAGTTTAACAGGCTTTAATTTTTAAGAAAAATGTCTGATCTTTAAAGGAAATGCTGGAGCACCATCAAAAAACATCTCACATTTTTGGGTAATTTTATTGGCACATGGTCTGAAAGTGTTATATATCCCCTTATAAACCAAATGCAAACCATGAGATGCCTCTACATCAAATTTGGTTGATGGCACGGTATATTCTGAGCTAACACATCGGTAGTAAACATTAGGTTGATATCAGTCTTTCATATTCAAATTGCATAGCCACCATATGGCTCCAACCAATACACAAAAAATTGCCTGTAGAAGTTGTAGTGACACCATTTCGTTTGTAACGACAGAAGTAGCATACAAACTGTGGTGCCAAAAAGTAATTTACCTAAAATTACCATTTTAGTCATTTTAACACAGCAGTGAATATTTTTGATGATCGTCTTACAAATCTTACAATAGGGGGGATCAGGACCGTATTAGAGAAAATGTTTCTGCCTTTTAGCCTTAATAGGTTTTTCTATAGGCAATATGTATTTAATTTTCTTTTATTATCCATCAGACAACTTGATACGCACTTGGCTAAACTTGACCTGGACTGTCCTAATAATCATGATCAGACATGATGATCATAATCATCACCTCAGTGATGTTCTCATTGACTCTAGTGTATTTTAACATTATAAAATGGTTTTTAATAGAGAAAATGAATCTCACTCAACACAAAATTATAAGCTTTCATTTATGTAGCAGAATGCAGGGACCTTTTTTTTTTTCTTTCTTTTTTTTGCCAAGGCAGTGCCCTTTAGTACGGCAAAAGCATTTACTTCTAGATGTCAGTGAGCACACATCCTCAAGCACGTACACACATACACTCACTTTATTATTTCTCTGTGGGACTCTACCCACTGACTCCGCCTGATTTCAAGAATACTTACAGATTTATGATCAAGGCTCATCTGAAAATAAAAACTCACATGTACTTTTGCATTGCGTGCTCATTACACTACACATCAGTGTGTGTTAAGGGACTTAGACATAGAAGAAGTATATAAACAAAACCACTGCCATGCTGTTTTGGTTATATTTGGTTTTATATTTAGATCTATTGATTTTAATTCAGTTATTTACAATTGATCAATCCCAATGATTAAAAGTCTGGAAACGTAAAATCACGCTGCATCGTGCACTGCAGAAGAACCAGCTTGTAAGTAACTAGTCTTGCGTGTGGATTTGCTGGATGAGTGTGTGGGGGGCCGGGGGCACCTGGCTTCTGCTACCTGAGAAAAATTACTCTCATCTTCCACTCTGTTGGACCTACTCCCACCCCATCCTCCCCTCACCCCACCTTTTCATTTTCAATTATGGGTTGGAATATGAATCTTTAATAGGGTGATAATTGTGCTAGCATATTTGCTGTCACCCACCATTAGCCTAGATTAATTAGCCCATTTAGTTTAGCTTAAGAAAGTGTCTGGCTGAGGAATGGGGGCACTGATGGAAGGCGGGTAGAGAGAGAGAAGAATCAGCACAATCTGTTCTATATCATAATGCCATCTTTCTCCTGCTCCTCTGTCTCTTTGTGCCGTCTGCCTCTCTGCCTTCTCCCTCTTCTCTGCTTTAACTCTCTCTCTCTCTCTTTGTCTCTCTCTCATCTAACTTACTCTGTTAGTCTGTTTCATCAGTATGCACTCATCTGCGCTGCTCTTAGCAATATTTTTTGTCACGCTACGACTTCTCAAGTGGTTGGTGGGGAGTCATGCAGTCGAAACTTTCTTAGAACTATTAATTCTGTCGTTAGCAGTATGCTAAGAGCCAGTGGTGTAACTTTTCCGAGCACGACCCTTTTCTCAAAGGATACTGCATATGTGAGCTACTGCATGTGTAGGAAAAAGTTGTATAAAGCCTTCTGTGGCTCCAGAAGGAGCTGCGTGTTGATAAATTGCCTCAACCGACATTACTTGAGTCAGCTTCAGTTGGGTATGAAGACTAAAAGTTTAAAAACTGTGGGCGTGTGAAGTGAGAGCGAAGCGAACATACCAGACCTCTGTAGCCTGCTCTCCGTCTCTGCTTGAACCAGAGCTTCAGTTTGAAGCTACATTAGCTGCTAACAGCATAACAGACCAGAATCTCCTCTTAACAGTCGAGTTGTGTTGTAGGTAATGTAGTTACCAGGGATCTCAAGCAGGTTTTGAATTATAGTATGTTTGATGCTGTGATGAAGTTTTGTAGACACTTTGACATCTTGACAGGAAAAGCCAGGAATTGAACTGCTGACCTTCCGATTAGTGGATGACCAGCTGCCCCACAGTTGCTTCACATGTGCTTTTTGTGGAAACTGTTTCCACAACTTTATAAATCAATGCTTTAAATTCAGTCCTGACTTGGTTTTGACCTCCTGGATTTCCAGGAGAGAGATGACCAAGATAACATTCCTATCCTCCAGACATTGTTGGGTAATACCTTGCCACTGACCAAAGTTTCAGGAAGGTTGGAAAAAATGCTGCTTGCTAGATGTTTGGCTTAGTTAATGATCCACTCATTTGCTGCTTTTGATTCACCCATATAAAATGGCAAAACAGAGCCAGCTGGAAGTTGCTGAACATGGAAAAAATCTTAAGTAACCTGAGAGCTGGTTGTTCATTGTCAGTGTAATTGGCTGAATTAGCCAACATTTCAGATTGCAGGAAATCATTTCATTCAATGTTAGCGTGAGAAATATCGCTTAATGGAGCTTTAATCGCTCTCTCCACCTTGGGATAAGTCATGTGTGTAGGTGTGTGTGGCAGCGGAGTGACTTGGCCATGTCACTAGCTGTATATCTCAGTGGGAAATGAGGTCTAATCGGAGGGATATTAAAGTCACAATAGACTGCTCCTGCTATTAAGGCCTGTCATCCCAGGCCTCCTCTCTCACCTTGATATCTCTCAGTCTCTGAATATTTATATGCCTACACCACAGGCTATTCACACAGCACAATGTGTGCATGTTTTTTGTGTGAATGCATGCCAGAGCATCAAGCAAGAAATTTATCATCACTGTAGCCACTCAAGGTCTTGGAATGTGTTCATGTGCATGTGTGTCGATTATGCACCTTTGTGTCCTCTGATGCCCAGGTGCAGTGGGGGCGAGGCTGCTCTCAGGTCAGAACAAACCCGTCACCATGGATGTGGATGAGGAGGAGAATATGAGTGAGTCAACTCTGATTTTTCTCATTTGTTTTATAAATGTCTGCCTGTATTTTGGTTTCCCTCCTTTTTGTCCGCCCGCATGTTTTTCCTCGTATGTCCTGTCTTTCTCTGATGTGTAATCAGTGTGAACATATTTTGCCCACTTACACTATGTATACGTTAATATAGTGCTTAGCCCACAATTTATAAAACATGCAATACAACACTAATCACACTAAATCCAAATGAAACTTGTACATACAAAAAAGACAAAAAAATACTGTTCATAATTGTCGTGTTGTTAATTGTATTCTCATGTAGTTTTCCCTCCATTGGCGTGATGTTAACTATCATTTGTCCTTACCTGAACCAACACACAAAGTAGTGCATACACACACAAAAATACACACCGCTGATGTTACCAAAACTTTTTAGGGAAGAACTAATCATTACATCTGAGATGCTTCAGGTCATATTACAGATTCCTTCTATCTCCATTTCTCTCCTTAGAAAATCCTCTCCACTCCAACATATTGAACTTTAATTAGACATTTTGGTTTGAACTCAGTATGTGAGCCTCAGAAGGCACGGAAAGACATGATTGAATGTGTTTCTCTTCACCTTAACAATTTTGAACTCACATTCAAAGGTAGCTGTCATCCCAGCAGCACCCTAACCTGCGATCCAAATGAACAGTTCTTATTGTAGTGTCATAGTCGGTGTTTGCGCTCCGAGGAGAGGCATGTTGTTATGTGTTAAGTCAGATAACCAGAGTTGCAAAAGACTCTTTGTTGTGTTTCACAGGCGGCCTTTTTCTCACATTTTTACTGGCAGTCAAAAGATATATTTGAAGATAAAACACAGTCCAAGCTCACACAGACCTGTTTCTTTAATACCAAGGGAACACCAGAGGAAAACATTAAAGAATGTTTAACTTTTATGTGACAACCTTAGCAGCTCTTGAAACTCTTTAATCACATGAATCATCCTGAATCAAAAGCCCAACAAACAAGTTACATTTAAAATAAAGTTGTTTTTGTCTGTATGATTTGGTTCATGCAACCCCACAGGGAATTTTAGCACTGAAAGATTCAAACATATGGGATTTTTTTTTCTTTGCGTTACGAATGGATGCTGATTACACAAGTGCTGTCATGATGATGCCCAAAACTGCATGTGTTTACCATAATTCGATGCATGGTGTCATGGCTGTTGCTCTAGGGCTTTTGTCCTCAGATCTGGTCTCAGGCTCTGGAGTATTATTGGATGTCAGTCATCCTGAAAAGATAAATTTTTGAACGGAGAAAGGGAGCTCCAGTTTTTTCTGTGTGCCATTATATTCACTGTATTTGCCTGTGCAGCATGCTAAAATTTTCATTGTGTCGAAGTTTTTTTTTTTGATTGGCAAATTGGTCACTATATCCCACAAATATAACTGTTTAAGGAAATCACAAGCTAAACATGTGTATTTAAGTATGTTATGCATTTAATTGAATGGAAATCCCCAAATTTACTGTAGATAAATGTTCTATACATTCTATCCTATGCAGAGAAGAATAATGAGCTACAGTACTACATGCTGTATATTTTAAAATAGCTCATTTACAATGAGAGTGCAAGTCCTTTTTTAAACTTTTGACCAAGACCCTTTTCTGCTACAGCTAAAATTACTCAGCTAATGCTACAGTATCTGCGGTGGCTGAAGGTCGTCGACTGTTCAATTCACAAATTTCACCTATCACCATTCTGATAGGAGATAATTCCTCTTGGCTACTGCTGTGCACAGTAACACTGTCCCCCCTTTCCCTTGTCATTACGTTTATTTGCAAAACCCCACAACTATTTGCAGAGTGCATGCACACACCAAAGATACGCATGTTTTCAGAGCTCATAAACTGAAGAATATGCATTTCGTGTTCTTGATTGTAGGAAGAAGTGGTTTTTTGTTTTGTTTTGCCTTGAGACATGTCAGTTGTAGTATGCAGATGGTAACAGCATGCCAGTACATATTGCAACTAAAAACACTGTGTTCTCTGACAAGCTCCACGGGGGGGAATCTCAGAGGCACAGGGTCTTATGAATGGCACCTCATTAGAAACGGTTCTTGAATTCCGATTTTCCTCATTTTAAATATGACAGTCATTCTTTTCAAAAATGGCTAAACAGCATTTTAACCTCCCACCGTGTCACCAGTCAAGCCTTTAGGATCCTGCAGTAGGTGGAGTCTTCTCCTCCTGCCTCTTTGATGTGTTCTCCTGTTTGCCTGGTCCTCAGCTCCTCCCCCCTGCACTCCTCCCCTGCACTCCCTCAACCCAACCTACAATCCCACTCATGCACACTGCGGCCTCTCTTTCTCCTGAGTACCGCAAGGAGTAACCTATCAAGCCTTTGCTGAAGGATGTTATAAATGAAAATTTTTGCCAATATTCCATCCACTTTGCTAACTGGATTCAGTGATATGTGTTCCCCTTGTACAGTATATTTCAGAACCTGCAGTTTAAAGGCAAACACTAGAAATGTACCTAATTTCTCTGTAGGCACTCAAGAGATTAAAAATTGACAGAGTGGATGAGGAAAAGCTCTGTGTGCGTGTGTGTTTGTGTGTCTTTGTTGAGTGTTGATATGTGTGCTCGTATTCGTGTGCATTTGTGTTTGAGACCCATAACACTGTGCAACCTGAAAAGTGTACAGTAGTGGTTTTTCTTGAAAATATATTTCTCCTACTTCACCCTGACTATTAGAATAATAAGCTACATAATTACAACTTTAATTATGGAGATACGTTAAGAGTTTAATTTCAAAATTAAAAACCATTGTACCAAAAAAATCTCGGAAGTGCTTTGAATGGTGGACAAGGTACACTTCTGAGAGTGCACCATAGATGATATTCTACTATTTGCAGTAATATCAGTAGACTATAGGTCAAGATGTTCAATGAAATTAAAAGCCAATTTCTCTTGCTGTGATAAAGGAACACAAATCATTGGTTCAGTTCCAAAGAGTGATAAAGGAATCTATAAATTTTGCATTTACAAGATCCTGCAACGAAGGCGTTGTAAGTTACTCTTTCTGGGCACCGCAGGTTCGAGCAGCACCGACGTTAAGGAAAACCGAAACCTGGACAACGTGTCCTGCAAAGACGGGCTGGGAGTGGCTGAACAGCTCCCCAATGGAAGTGGCCTGGGCAGTCGAAAGCGCCCCCTAGAGGAGGGAAACAATGGTCACACACACTCCAAGTTCCGGGCCAAGAAGCGCAAGAAAACCCCAGGGCCAGTCCTGCCCAAGAACGCTCTGATGCAGCTGAACGAAATCAAACCGGGTCTACAGTACAAACTGCTGTCTCAGACAGGGCCAGTCCATGCACCGGTTTTTGTCATGACTGTGGAGGTCAATGGACAGATGTTTGAGGGCATGGGCCCAACAAAGAAGAAGGCTAAACTGAATGCAGCTGAGAAAGCTCTGCGCTCCTTCGTCCAGTTCCCCAATGCCTCTGAGGCACACCTGGCCATGGGTCGAACACTGACAGTGAACACAGACTTCACATCTGACCAAGCTGACTTTCCAGATATGCTCTTCAACGGCTTTGAGACACCAGCCGCACCTGAAGAATCCTTCTATCTCGGCTCCAATGGTAGCAGCTCCTTAAACTCACTAGGGGAGTACCCACTGCCCACGCCACCTGGCAGCAACCTTGTCCAGGCCCCATTGCCCCCTCCATCGGCATTCAACTCGCCCTCCAGTGGCAAAAACCCAGTCATGATCCTCAATGAGCTCAGGCCAGGCCTCAAATATGACTTTGTCTCAGAGAGCGGGGAGAGTCATGCCAAGAATTTTGTGATGTCAGTAACGGTGGATGCACAGACGTTTGAAGGCTCAGGGCGCAACAAGAAGCTGGCTAAAGCCCGGGCAGCGCAAGCCGCTCTCTCAGCTCTCTTCAACATGCAGCTAGACCAGACACCATCCCGGCAACCCATACCACGAGAGGGTTTGCAGCTTCACCTACCCCAGGTAAGATACTACTACTCATAAACACTCCAGGTCCGTGGCGTACCCCCATTGGTATCCTGAAGGATATTGAAGTAGGACTGTTCTATAATATACACAGTAAGAATATACAAAGCAATATTTCATTTGGCTATGTGTTAAATAATAACATAATATTTAAATATGCTTTGGTCAATGAATTTGTAGTTACAATGCAAGCCTTATTGAAGATATTTCAGGAGTCAGTATAGGACACAGATGAGCTCAGTTTCTGTCAATCACTAGAAGTAAGCAGATCCAGTGATCCCAGATCTATTATAATCTTGCTTTTGAGTAGAGACATATCAAACACATTATTGCCAGTTATCAAATTCTGTCTTCACAAAAGCTGCCAATGGAACATTTACTCAGCCTTGTCAATCAGCACTGGACTTGAAACACTAATTAAAATTTAAAAGAGTCGAGAGCGACAGTAGATGAAATCACAAAGACTGAGACAGGTTTTGCAAGCGGGTGAAACTTTAAAGCTCTTAAAGATAATGTTTTTCAGACACTACACATTGGATCCAGATAACCATGATGCCAGTACCTGGTCCATATCTTATTTCTCCTGAGGTCACGCTAATTGTTGTACTTGGTAAGGCACGAACCTCAGATGAATTACATCCTTCTCCCTAATGAGTAACACTCATTAGGGAAAATGATTGTTTTTATGTCATCGTAAGCTCTGATGGAAGATGTGTCCACAACTAAACAGCAAATGGAAACAGGACCTGTCTTTTGCTCCAGATCCACTCCAAACCCCTCCACCTGTCTACCTCTGCTGTTCTAGTAGGTTATCATTAACATCTCATTCAAACCAGGTTTGCAGGGACCAAAGGCTGGTGGTCACTTTAGATGCCACTGTAGTGGTGACTGTCAGAGCCTCAGTGTGTGAGGAGAGATAACACGGTCAGCAAAGCTAATCAGCCCGACACACTGTCCACAGTCCCCTCCTCAAAGCCTTTTTTTTCTTTCTGTTCCCTCTCTCTCCACTTGTCAACTGATTTATTCGACAAGCATCCCATTTTAACGACAGCGACCCCACTAATTGCTGTATTAATTCTCTGTCGCCTGGTGTTTAATTTCTACAGCCCGTTTCCATCGGGGAAGGCACTAATGGGGAAAAATGGTTGGATTCCAGTGCAGTTGCAAAAAACTTTGTTAACTTTGTTAGAACTTATTTTTGTTGCATGGTTTAAATTGTTTTTTTTTGTTTTTTTATTATAGCTTAAAACATAAAATCCATCAAAAACCTTGTGTAGCTTCAGAAATACCTAGGCATGCAATCTTTTATTCATTCCTGGTGGGAACATTTTCCAGACATATATGTTTTTTTATCCAAAAGCAAGTGATCTGTTCTGTCACTTTTTTTGCACCCCTAGAGATTAACATTCATTTCTACACCATAGACGACCTTGGCATTCAAAAGTCAAATGATCTGGCTACGAGTGGGTGACTCAGAAGTAGCAGGGAAGTAATATTGGACTAATCTCTTTAATTAGTGGTCATCCAGCCGTCATCTCTCCTCTTGGTTGTCGTCATTTTCCATCACATTAGCAGAGGATAAAGAGCCAGCATGAAGAGCTGGCTGTACAAGAAGAAAAGATGTGATAAGTTCAGTCGAGGTTCCGCAAGAGTTTGAACTGTGATTTTAAATTATGTGAGAAGTCGACAAACACTTTGTTCACAGCTGTTTCTTCGGTTTACTTGTTTGGTTTTTGCTTTTTGTGATTCACTGTCAGGAGGGAGATGGTAAATTATAACTGTCATGCCAAACTCAAACAGCGTTGCTTGAGAGACGGTTAGGTATACCTCAGGGGGTCAACCCAGTTTCACTTGTTGCTGTTTCAACGCTCTGACTCTTGTTTGGAGCTGAATGCGAACACTGTGACAGGTACATGGTGCTCTAAGGGAGGATAACATCAGACATGCTTTGTAAGCTGACATATCTGACACAGGCTCGTGCTTGTGTGGCTGCTTGCGCGTGCGTGCGTGCGTGCGTGCGTGCGTGTGTGTGTGTGTGTGTGTGTGTGTGTGCGTGCGTTTGTGTGTGTGTGTGTGTGTCTGCGCTCGTGTTTATCTGTGTGTATGTGATTCCAGGTTCTGGCTGATGCCGTCTCTCGCCTGGTGGTGGATAAGTTCAGTGAGCTGACAGACAACTTCACCTCCCCCCATGCACGACGGAAAGTCCTAGCAGGGGTCGTCATGACAACAGGTAGATTTTAAGGGGAAGAGATGGTTTGTGTTTTTATGCTTAGAGAATACACTGTCAGTCAATTTTTAAGTGTTCCAGGTTTCAAGCCCTGAAAGCAGATGACACTATTCATGGTTGAGAGCCAGTGTGTTCAGTCTAATAATCTGTTCTGAGTAATGTGTATATACATATTTTGCACCATCTGCAATAACCTTAATGTCTTGAACACTTACAGTTTTGTTTTCAGTACATTTATCAAGTGCTGTAGTTAGCTGTAGCTGTAAATTTGAGATACTTTATTATTTTACCATTATATTCTTCTACTCCACTAGTTTGAAATTTTACATGCAAAACATATGATGAACAAATGAACAAACATGACACATTAAAAAATAAAAAAAAAACTACCTGCCGGTAAATAAAATTTGCTTCACCTCAACTAACTAGACATTGAAATGCCTAAAATGGGTCATTTGTAGTGAAGAACCTACAGAGAACTCTTTTGTGGTGAGTTTCAGCTTATTGTTTCACTGTTCAGCCACTGTACACCACCTGCTCAGCACCATACAGCAGACAGACAAAGTAAGCCACTAGCTGAGTCAGATATTTCAATCCTTTTGTCAACTTTAAGGTCATCATGTTTTTGCAACAGGAACAACTTTCCAACCAGGTTGCAAATTATTCCAGTCTGACCTCTCAAGGCAGACTTAAGGCCACATGTACAGCATGTACTTTGAGGGTTTGCATCCATTGACTAATATGCCCCCCCCCCCAACAGGGACAGATGTTAAGGAAGCACAGGTCATTTGTGTCTCCACGGGAACCAAATGCATCAACGGTGAGTACATGAGTGACCGTGGCCTGGCGCTCAATGACTGCCACGCTGAGATAATCGCCCGGCGCTCGCTCATCAGGTACCTCTACACTCAGCTGGAGTTCTTCCTCAGGTCAGTAAACAGTGTAAAATTTATTTTCTATAAGCAAAGTACAGTGTTTTGCCTGTGGCGTTTTGTTGTGTTGTTGTATTGATAATTTAATTAATTTTAAGCCCAGTTAAATGAGCTACAATGAAAAAAAAAGAAAAGTAAGCATACTTTCAGTGCTGTTTGTCAGCCACTTATTGAAAATGCCATTTGTCTGTTGTCATAGCAACACTAAGGAGGACCACCAGAAGTCGATATTCATGCACTGTGACAAGGGGGGCTACAGGTTAAGGGACAACGTTCAGTTCCACCTCTACATCAGCACCTCGCCCTGCGGAGACGCCAGGATCTTCTCCCCACACGAGGCCGGAGTGGAAGGTTCGCATCGATCGCAGAGCATCCTCCTCTCTCCCCCTCTCCTCAGCCAACATGTTATTAACTTGGTCTCATCTTAGTACGGAATTCAGCTTCTGCAAGTTTATTTTATTTAATTGAATTTGTAGGTTTTCCTCTTATGCTTGGTTTCATTTAATTAGAATTTTATTCCAATGTCCAAATACACATAAGAGGCACATTTAAACAAGGCTCCAGTAATTAGAGCTTTTGTCATTCTCTGTCTGTCTCTATCAGTCTTTCTCCCGCCCAGCCCACCCACACCGTCTGTCTGATTAACCTCCCTCTTACTCTTGTCAGACTGTTTTCCGTTACACATGGCAGACTGAATAGAAAACAGCCACATTCAATTAGTCACTGAATTGATGGCGCCTGCTGGTGAAACAGCAGAAAACATTGATAACATAATAAAAATAATAAGTCATGCTTGTGTGGAAGCTATTTTTTTTTGTTTTCTTTTCTTGTAATCGGTTTTCTGATGTTGAGGAGATTTTTTTACATGTTTACATATTGATACGGAGGTGTTAGTACTATATGTCAAACAGTTTTATAAACCGACCATTAGTCTGAAAGGTTGTCTGAACACAGAGAGCTAGTCAGTGTTTTATGTGTGTCTCTTCCTTATGTCTCTGTTACTGTGTTGTCTCACTCAGACCAAGGAGACAGACATCCTAACCGGAAAGCTCGGGGCCAGCTAAGGACCAAAATTGAGTCAGGGGAGGGCACCATCCCCGTGAGGTCCAGTAACACAATCCAGACCTGGGACGGGGTGCTGCAAGGAGAGAGGTTACTCACAATGTCCTGCAGTGACAAGATCGCAAGGTAATTTGGTTCAGATAACAACCCTTACTTGTAATGGTATTGTTACATATGTTTGTATGTGCTAAATATGAAGCCCATTAGCTTATCTTAGCTTGGCATAAAGACTTGAAATAGGTGGAGACACCTCACCTGGCTCTGTTCATAGGTTAAAAAACAAAAAAATGACCCACCAGCATCTCTAAAGCTCAGTAATTTATTGTTTAGTATTTGTTTAATCTGCATAAAAATTGGTAACTCTTAATTAATATTAGCCAAAATGTTGAACTATTTCTTCAAGCAGAACGCAAATTTTGCTTCATCTGCAGCAACTAAATGTGTTTGATTCTCATGGTGTAACCTGCTGGGTATCTGCAGGTCTGGAAATGCTTTAACAAGCACTCAAAACAAATGCTTAGTCAGTCAGAGGTTATGAATATTTTTCCTTCCTTCTTCTGCTGCTTTATCTGGCCCCAGTTCACATTAATTGATAAATTATATTATTAGAAACTATTATATATACAGCTGGGAAGTACTGGCAAAAATGTCAATAGCAATGAATTAATGTTCTTAAAAATAATAATAAATTATAGCAGGCTGAGAAACAGCTTTTTTCATCAAGCCATGGACAAGCTGCTGTTATATGTATAATGTCTATTTATTATGATGATTTTTATGACTATTTTATCTTTATTATTTATTTATGCTACTGGAAGGAGTGGAGTGGTTAATATGTGCCCCGATATGAAATGACAATAAAGTATCTATCTAAATTTTATTCATTATATTGCCAGCAGCCAATATAATGTCATTCAGTGACTGCTGTGACCATGAAAAATGTATTCAATTGTGGTTTTAGAAAGGTCTTAAATATAATTTTGCAGAAAACCTGAACTTTCTACCTAAACCATAATTAGCCATGAACCATGCCACTCTTGTTATGTCGTACTGCAATGAATTGCATTATTTCCTCGCTTTGTCATTTCAAGTTTATTTTCCTCAGGGAGTGTCAGGGACAGCTGAATTTATGGATACTCTGTCCCGGGGGCCATTTTTGCAGGCAGATCATAGCGTCTTTAGTCTCTGTCCATGTTCAAGGCAACACTGTGCCTCCCCTGTGATGAACGATAAAACTTCTCCATAACTCTTCTCACGAGCCCTTTTCCTTCTCCTTCTCTTCTTCCTCCTCGATCGCAATACCTTGCCTGAACAGTGATTGAATGCGGAGTGTGTATTTGATGAGGGAGATGTCTGCCGTGTAGTGGGTGCTGTATGCACTGTGTGAGAGGTTTTGCACTTTCAGCGTGTCAGTGCTGCTACTAGTGATTCAAATTTTGTGTGGTTGTCCAAAATGGAGGGATCCAAGTCAGTAGAGGGCAAAATAGGTTGGAGACCGCACATGTAGTCATGTGGGTTTTTTTTTTTTTTTCTGGTCAGGCTTTACCAGACGACAAGTTCAAACATGAAATATATTAAAGTTGACACTTTTACAGTTGATACAGAGCACCAGAAAATTAACCCTTCACAGTGAAGCTAATGGACTGGTATTATGAGGCTTCTCACTCTTTCGCTCTTTCACTCACTTACTCACGTCATCTTAGGACACAGCCATTAGCCAAGTCAGATATATGTTGCTCATCTGCTTCTGTTCCCGTGTCAGTGATTGTAGGCTGCTATTTGATACAACTGACCGGGACACTTTGACCACACCCTCAGGGCTCTCTCCTTAGATATTGTTTTCTCTCCTCTCATCTTCCTTTGATTACATGCTCAGCCGCGCATCTTCGGCAAGAACAAGCAGTCCTCCGCCTCGTGTCCGTTGTTCCCAGCTGTTTGAATGAGCAAACAGGCGAAGCTCTTATGGGTTATTTCTCTCTGTTTGTCCTGTTTTCTCTTGTCGTTTTTTTTTTTTTTTTAACAGCTGATCACGTGGGACTTCTGAATTGTTCTGACCTTGTTCTTGTGTGTGTGTGTGTGTGTGTGTGTGTGTGTGAGCATGTGTGTGTGTGTGTACTGTATGTGTGTAGATGCATAGAGCATGATATTGAATAAAATAACAACAAAGAAATACAGAGATGTTTGACGGGAATGAAATTGAATGCCTCTGAAAACATAACTCAAAATGTGTGCGCTTGCTTGTCTCTGGTTCTTTTATACACTGTGTGTGTCCTTCATAGTCTTTTCAGATATATTTCTGTAGCTGGGATGTGATGACAAAATTTGCAGGTGTGAGTGTGTGTGTGTGTGTGTGTGTGTGTGTGTGTGTGTGTGTGTGTGTGTTGTTTGTGCATGGCCCAAAATATTATGAAGCTGTTTGACTGTGCTCAGTGTGTGCTTTACTGCTCGCAGCTATGAATTCAGATTTCATTTTGCCCTCCCTCAGCTTGACACACAATGCCACACACTTGCTCACACACAGACCCACAGAGAATATTGCATATGGAAACAATGGACCCTCTATGTCGCCTGGGGACTTATAGTATGCTTGCATATTCCTCATTGTTCTGGGTGCATTTTGGTAATTTCACACACTTTCAAACAGCCTGAAGTGAAAGAGAGAGTGAGAAGTGTGTATTTGATGAGGGAGCTGTCTGCTGTGTAGTGGGTATTGTTTACACTGTCGGTGTCTTCTTTTTTATCAGTTTGTACCCTTCCCTAAAGGATAAAGGTTAGTGGTGATCAATGTTTTTCTCCTTATCAACCAATCCAACAAAAAGACCTAAACCAACGATGACCTGATTGTACTAACTACTACTACAGTAAACCAAAGCCTCACATATTTCATTCCTCTATGCCGTTGCTCCATTGTTGTCCAAAAACGAATAAAAACACATCAGTGAGCTACAGCGTTACCCTGGACAACATGTTTATACAATACCATGTACATGGGCACTGTAATTTCAGCAAAAGGTTTATTCCTCCGCAGCAGAATACAGTCCCAAACAAATGTATTATTTTCTCCAGTTTGAGTAATGTTTGCTAAAAACTACATTATCCAGCTTTTTTAGGAAATGATTTAGCTGATTGATTACCAGATAGGACATTTTTGTGAAAATAATATATGAATCTTGATGTGAAAAAAATCAAACATATTTATGGTGCTGAGATCTATGACTCTGTACATTTTAGTGTAGATCCAGATCACAATCTGTATCAGTCTGACATATAGGGTTGTTTGGCCTGGGCGGCGGTATAAACTCTCCTGAATGCCATTCTAGTTTAAAAAATAAATTTATATATTCATGACCTGTTGTTGTGTGTAGGATTTAGTGCTGAGGTTGCTGCCAAGTGAATACCCCTCCCATCACCCCTCCCTTTCCAAGAGTGCAGGTGTATGTAAAAACGTAAAAGGCCCTCTCTAGAGCTAGTGTTCGGTTTGTCCAATCTGGGTTACTATAGAAACATGACAGTGCAACTTGGCGTCCTCTGTGGAAGATGACCTGCTCCCTAGGTAGATAAGAGCTCATTCTGAGCTACTGATGAAAACATAGTTATGTATATCATATTCCTTTTCTGCCACTAGATCAACTTAAATCCTTCACACTGGTCATGTAAAGATTTACATCTTAGGACTGTATGTGCTTGAGGCCGAACACCTGATACAGGACAGGAAAAGATACAGAGAAGCTTGATGTTGGTTTTGGTCTTTTCATGGAATTTATTGACAACAACAAATATATAAAATAACACCAGCCTTATCCTTTAAGTCATTCATCCCTTAAACTTTTGCTTTTTCTCGCTTTCTTTACTCGATCTGTCTCCATTCTGCTACCCCGCCCCCTCCCCACCCCTCTCTCTCGCCCCCTCCCTCCCCCACTGAGGTGGGCAGGCAATGCTTCACAGAGCATGTCAATGGGAAAATGACTGGGGAGAGATGGCTAATGACACAGCATAGAAATACACAGAAGTGTGTAGAATGTGAAACTGGATACCTTGGAGTGTACACAACTGTAGGTTTGTGTGTGGTAGCGGGTCATATACTCATATATGTTGCTCGTGCTGCTGAGTGTGTCCACTTCCGCTACACGCGTAACATATGATCATATTTCTTTGTGTATTCGGTCTCTGAACCTTCCCATTCTTACGAAACTTGTTTGTCATACGTAGTGTCTCCAGGACACTTTAAAGGCTGATCACTATCATTTCTACACGTCGTCTGCATTTTTGGTGAAGCGTGTTGTCATGATTAATAAGAGAAGGAGTTGACACTTTCTAATAACTAGAATGAAAATGTAGCTTTTTACTGATTGTGGCAGCTAACGCAGGCAGTTGCCAGGAATCAAGGTATACGTGGTATAACTCATTTGAATGTAATTGATTTTTTCTGATATTTATGAATGTGAATTAAGAGTTGTAAGGTGAGCCAGGTTTGGTTTTATGTGACTATTTGATTATCTTCTGAAAAACTGATAGCGTCCCTGTTGAGTGAAGTTAGATCTGTTACAAATGGAAGTGTATTCTCAGGGGAAAGGTATCTATCCAACAAATAGGCAACACTTCCAGTTTATCTAATGTCGGTGTTTTTTTCCCCTCTGCAGGTGGAATGTGGTGGGCATCCAGGGCTCTTTGATGAGCTACTTCACAGAGCCAGTCTACTTCTCCAGCATCATCCTCGGCAGCCTTTACCACGCTGACCACCTCTCCCGGGCCATGTACCAGCGCATCGCAGATATCGAGGACCTGCCACAGCAGTTCACCCTCAACAGGCCTTTACTCAGCGGTAAGAGTCCGCTTTGATGTGGAGCAGATGGGGAAACAAGAAAGAAAATCAGATAAGATTTCTGCTCTAACGTGCTGAATTTTTAACTTAACAAGAGAAGTTGAAGCAGTAGCATGATCGTGTTTCACATTTTCATGCTTTGAGGGGATCACTTTGTTATTATTTGATAATCAAACTCCAGATATCTAAATAGCAAAGAGGAGGATGGTAATCCTAAGCAGTAAACATGTTTATCCTCCTCGCTGGTCAGTCCACAGCAGGAAGACCGTCATTGCTTTTTCTCCTGTTTGATATGAGCTGACATTTACCTTGTTCCTGGGGAATTTGAATAGCTTTATCATTTTGTGTAAATTTTCAGCATTGGCTTGACCTTTTTAAAAAGGCCATATAGATCAGGACTCCATTTTTTTTCTGACTTTCCATTTTTAGATAGCATTCAGTTTTTGTCTTCTGGTTGTTCAGAATTTCCCTAATAGAAATGTTAGCTTTCCCACATCTTTTTGCACCAACCACATTTGGTTTCTCTTTCTGTCCCTTTCTTTTACCAAACAGTATTCACCCTACACTTCTTACAGACATTGACAACAGTAAAAATCATGAATCCTTGAGTTTCTGTTGCTCTCTCATGGCACATATGCACTTTTCCGTTACAACAACAACAGATTCATCCAATGAAATTATTAGTAATTTTGTTTCAGTAATTGAATCAATCCGTGATGTCAGACAGAAGTAGACAAAAGCAGGATTCTCATTTTAGCCAGCAACCGCTGATTTTATCTCCTCAAGTGACAGCTGGCACAGGCAAATTTTATCAGCTGTAGCTAGCGAGCTAATTAAGCTAATGTTTACTCCATGATTGAAAACTCTGTCACAGCTGGTTTGTTTTAAATGAGAATCTTGTAAAAGGGGTCTAAATAAACAATTAAGGGCTACATTTGTTGTATTGTAAAAGGTTAGAAGCTAAAAGGCCGCATCCTCACTAACTGATATGTAACACCACCGTTAGCTGGGGTTGTGTTCCCGAAATACAATCAAGAGCAGGACAGAGCCTAAACTCTGATAGCATCCAGTTTAGATCATATGGGATGACATGAGGCGTCGTATCACAGAGCCTGGATATATACGTGCAGCTCCCCCTCTGAGGTCGCTCTCTCTAAATGGCGGGGGTAAAGGAGATAATAGTAAGGGGTTATTAACCTTTTCCGCTTTAGAAAGTTTTTAGCTGTGAAGGGCTGTGGTGTTAGAGCACTGAGGATTTCATCCCCTTTAAATCATCTTCTGCCACAAGTGCTGTCAAATGGAACCAAGGAGCTTAATAGGCACACTCACACACACACATACACACACAGAGCAAGACACAGGGATTTATGGCATCCATATATCTCCCATTTATGCTAGAGATACAGTTGAGGCTGAAGTCCCATAACGTGCTGGAAGAGAGCGAGCTGGGTCCTCCTGGGTGGATGGTACTGTTTGTCTCCACTGAGCAACACAAAATAAATGACAAAAAGAAACAAAGTGCTGTTTCAAGATACTGGAGCTGTGGGAGTAGCTGTCATTTGAAGGAATAGGCTTCCATGTTTGGATACCTCATCCATTGTTTAAAACATCCATGCAGCGGGGGAGCAGTGGGTTTAGTTGCTGTGGGTCTCCCATGGTAACTTTGGAGGAAGGGAAAAGAAGATAATCATCTCATTACTGAACAATCCCTTCTCTCCAAACTTTCAGCGTCTGAAGGCTCTTGGCCTAATGTTGGGAAAAGATTCTTGCAACATGAACAGTTTCTCTTGATGTACTGCTTGACCCTGGGTGTTTCTCATTTCAGGTATAAGTAATGCAGAGGCCAGGCAGCCAGGCAAGGCACCAAACTTCAGTGTGAACTGGACGGTGGGCGACCAGGCCCTCGAGGTCATCAATGCAACCACAGGAAAGGACGACATGGGCCGCGCTTCACGTCTTTGCAAGCACGCCCTCTACAGCCGCTGGGTGCGCCTACACTCGAAGGTAAAGATACTGTGCTCAGTTGTTGTGAAGCATTTTGGTCTGTACCGTAAAGTAGTCTGATACCAGGCCTTGTTCACTCGCCATGTGTGCTGCTTTTTGTTTCTGCAGTTTCGGCCACATTTTGCTGGTTCATCATCCAATCACTTTTTGTTGAATCAGTCATCAAAACAATTTAAGCATTTGCAGGTGCTACTGTGTGATCCAGCTGCAACACGTCAATCGTCCTGCACTGACATTATAGCGGATTTGATTCATGTCATATTAAGCAGCTGGAAGCAAACCTTAAGTTTATAATCTGACCTCCTTGAAAAGTTGAATTGAGGAAAAATAGTTGAGTACTTCATTGAGAGACTGTAGAGGTCAAGCAGTACATACATGAATTCCAGTAGTAGCATGATTGGTTCCCAGACCTACCTACAGAGATCTGATTGGTCAGATGAACTGAAACATCAACTACTGACTGTGGGTATAAGTTAATATCTTGGAAAACTTAACCTTAAAATTAGAGTGAGGAGAATCAGTCTTGCTGATTGAATTTATGCTGACGCTACAGAGCTGCAGTCAATATTAGGAGCTGCACAGTTGGGTGTATTTACTGTATATTTACTTTACTTGGTGACATGACTTTGTCTCTTTCCCTTTCAGCTGTCATCCATCTTGCGGATCAAGGTGCTGAAGCCCAGTTCCTACCATGAAGCCAAGCAGGCAGCGACAGAGTATCACTCTGCTAAGCAGGCGCTCATCAAGGCCTTCCACAAGGCCGGCCTGGGGGCGTGGGTCAAAAAGCCCATTGAGCAAGACCAGTTCACCCTCAGCTCCTGAGGGAGTCAAGGGACCAATGCATTCCTATACCCCCCACTCCTTCCCCCCTGACCCAGGCCTGAAAGCAAGAGAGCCCCTTATTAACAGCCCGCCCACACAGACACTTACCTCCGTCCCATGTGTCGGCACGCACGTGCACTTTGTACTTGTGGAAATAAACGTGCGTAGTTTCACAAACCATCCATAGCTCGTCATTCTCATTCCTCAGAGGACCTCAGCCTCACCGTGTCTCCTCCTTTTTATTTTTATTTTTAATGGATGGTGTTTTTCATCTACTTGTTTTCTGTTTTAAAACTGGAATCCATGGTTTTTACACCAGTCAGTTGTTTATGTTTCCCAGAGACATCATGTTTAACATGTGAAAGTTGAAATTATACAGTTTTTGTCTATTTTCTTGATCAGTGATTGTAGCCAGTTTAGGGTGAAATGTAGCCTAGAAACACAGGATCTTTGTCAAGTAAATCCAATGTGTATGGACCTAAAAAAATATATATATACTTGCTAAAATCAACGACTATGACGAACTTTAATTTAAAGATGCATAAATCTTCAGGATGTAAATCTAGTACTGAAAAGAAAGAGAACATAAAATAGTTATAACATTTAATGTGTGTCATTTGGTCCGTTGCTTAGGTGAGACTACATGTTGTTAGCCCCTGTATTAAAGATGAAAATGTTACACAATATTGTCGCCCTGTTTGATTCACTGACTGGAAGGAATATACAGTACAGGCCAGGTGACACTGCAGTTTAGTGAACTTTTGTTTATTTTTAATGTCTTATTCATTCATTCATGCATATGTTCTGTAAGTTATTTTACGCCACTCTCATTTCATACTTGAACACTGGGGGGTCATGTTGACTCCTTCCCTCGCCTGGGTCTTGGGACAAGCTTTGGGAGGTGCTGCACGTTGTATTTTTTTCTTGATCTAAGCCATGGCTTTGCATGGGAACTGAACTGGGAGGCCTGCAGAGCAGAAAACATGCGGTGGAGAGCCCCGTGCATCCATCAGTGAATGATTTTGAATGAATGCCAGCATCTTCCTCCACAGGCAGCTTTGAATCTGTGTCTCTGTTTTCTAGATTTCTTGTGACTTATTGTTTGTTTGTTTTGGGGGGAGGGACCGGGACAGTTTTTTTTTTTGTTTGTTTTTCTTAAGATTGGGCATTTGAGGATAGGGGATAACACTGCAGTGAAAATAGTGATAGTATAAACAGACCTCTCAGATCTTGTAACTATGTCACTTTGTGGAAGGGATCCATGATAGCCGTCAGTTGAACTATCCATAGAAGGCATGGTCTGTGTACTGTAGTGCCACGTACAGTACTGTATATGAAGTTACACTCACTAGATACCACATTATGCCAGTCTGTAGTGATTGTCTGAGATGCAAACATGTTGTAATCCCTCCACATAACTCTCTCTCTGGAAACACCTGGAGGAGCAGTGAAGTACCATGCAGTCCCTGTGTGAGCAGACTGAAAGTTGTATGCTAACACAGTACCTGATCAACTCTGCCAGTTGGTTACAACCAAATGTCTCACAGCGTGATGTCATTTTTCGTCCTCCTCTCTTCTACTTCAGAAACACGTTAGTTGCGTAGCTCGAGAAGACCTTTGTGATTTGGTTCGACACCTGTACACCCTGAGTGCATCAATGTCCTCATGTTTTAAATGTGTTAATGAGGACCAGTTTCCACGTGAACCGCAGTCAATTCCTATTCCAAGCTGTAGGAAAATGTATGCGTGTGTGTGTGGGTGTGTGTGTGCATGTATGTGTGTGTGTGTGTGTGTGTGTGTGTGTGTGTGTGTGCAATCTCTGTGTGCTCAGGCGTCTTTAAGCATACTCTGTGGAATCTTCACCAAAGATGATGATGTCCATGTGTGTTTCTGTCCCAGTGTTTTCCTTACAAAGATGTTTTTTTTAAATATATTTTACACTTTTTTTTTTTTCTTTTTTTTTGGGATCAACATTTATTTGTTTTTTTGTATATCCACTGACCAATGTACTTTTTGATTTGTACAAAAACAGTGTATTCAATCCAATATGGGGGAAATTGAATTGTCAGGCTTCTTTAGTGCATCTGTTGCTGTCGGTGGCCACGTGTATATTGTGTGACCTGCGATCATTATTGCTGCAATATAGTAGTTTTGTGTATATAAGGAACAACACAAATGACTAATTCTGTTCCTGTACAATCAATTCATCCCATTCTCTTGAAAACTGTTTTTAGATCTTTCCCTGTTTTCGGGATAGTGAAGATGTTCATGTTCCTAAGTAGGTATTAGTGGTTCTATGTGACTCACTGGGCACCATAAAGCATGGCACTAACACTGCCGGGGTTATTACAGGCTTCATCCCAATTGTAGCCACCCGTGTTTTAAAAAAAAAAAAAAATGATATGCATTGTAAGGTGCCTGAGCTAAAAGTGGCATCCACTAGCTGGCACGTGTGATGTCTTCTATGTACCTTTTTCACTTATATTTGGTTGTTTTATGAGTCAGTATTAGAGAAGAAGAGGGAATCTCCCAGACTTGACTTGAAGGTAAAAACCTTGTAAGCAGTGGGATCCAGTGCCCCCTGACAAATAGACCCAGACCAAAGTCACAAGCAATATTCCTGATGTCTCCTTTAATGTCAGCCCACCCCAAACAGGAGTCTGAATAAGTTTCCTTCCCCCCTTTGCTCCTCCAGTCTTTGCTCGTCTCCTGGTATCTTCTCTCTCCACGAAGCTGTCTGAGGTTTTTATATAGATATATATAGATATATATATAGATATATATATATATACATATTTCCCCCCTAAAGACTGCCTGCTTCTTGAGTTTTGTTTTTCTTTTGACTGCACTAAAGATGTCAACTGATGATGTCATGATGAAAAACCGTCCCCGTTTATGGATCGGATGGCAACTATCACAGCAAGAAATGAACTGCTTCTGCTTAACCCTTTGTGAATCCTCAATGATGGTCAGTGCCCCCCTCCTCCTCCCCCGCAGCTGCGTCTGCAGTGGGTTTATTTTTTATTTTTTTGTTTCGTTTTGTTCGGTGACTCCAGTGGCGCTCAGTGTTTGTCCACTCTGGGTCCACCGCTCTCCGTTCTCCCTCTCTCCAGTTGTCCGATGTGTGAAAACCTACACCAACAAAAACCACAACCTTGCATGTACTTCAAACACTGAAGCTGCACCTAGCATGATGACAAACTTTTAAAGGACTCGTGTAGAAAAAAAAAAAATAAAACAGATAAAGATAGATATATAAAATGAACAAAAAAGAATAAAAGAGTTCTTAGTTTACTTTTGCACATGGCTGGGATTCTTTCTTATCGACGTTTGAGTGTTTCTGTCTCTACCTGTCTCGAATCTAAGGAATGGATGTAGAGGGACAAAGAATCACGATCAACTTGGTGGCTGTTGTCCACATGTGTTTATTGTATTTTGTGTGCACAGAATGAAGAACACACTGGACGTCTGGTCATTTCTGACCAATCACAGGACAAAATGTGGTCAGATTTTCTCTCGAGTTTGTGACCAGTCACTTTCAAATCCAATATAAAGGTAAAAGCAAACGAAGTGCATCATCATCTCGATGCTTTCAGGCTGCGTTACCAGAAACTTTCACCATAATCACTCTGAAGCATCAGGACATGATGAACGCATCCTCATCCTGTCAACTTTTCTGAACTAGCAGTTGCTATGACAACAAGGAGGACAGTGATTAGCAGTGTTAGATGTCCTCAGTGGTGGAAAGAGGATATTGATCTTTACTCAAGTAAAAGCACTAATACAATAATATCTAAATACTTCATACAAGTGAAGGTCTTACATTGACTCTTTTACTTGAAAGTAATAGTACTTGTTCTACCTCTGCCAGTCTGATACAGTAATTATTACATTATTCTTGATTTTTAGATACAATTTTGGATTACTTCTTATTTCTAAACTTTTCAATTATCTCCAATATTGGAAAGTTTTACCTCTTTGGCTCTCAAAACAGTTAAGTCAATTGATAAGGGATTTATTTCTCCATGCTGACGACAGCCAGAGCCAGACGCATTATGTTTACAGGTTGTCCAACCCATTCTCATGAACACAATATCTCAGTAACGTCTCGAGGGTATTTCTTCAGATTTGGCACAAATGTTCACTTGGACTCAAGGACGAACTGATTACATTTTGGCGGTCAAAGGTCAACTTCACTGTGACATCATAATCTTCAAAAAGACTTCTGGATATTATTCAAAGCTGTAACTCAGGAAGAAGAGATTGTGACCATATGTCCTGCAACTTGGCTTGAGGCAGTAATTCTAGTTTTTATTTTAAGTCTGTAACAATAAGTATAACTATAGCTGTCAAAGAAATGTAGTGCAGTAAAAAGTACAGTACTTCCCCCAAAAACTCAAGTGCAGTATAAGTTGTACTTAAGTACAGCGCTTGACTTTCCACCACTGGACATCCTTATGCATGTATACAAACAGAACAGAATGAGCCTAAAAGGGGCAATACACACTGGCGTTGTCAGTTGCACATGAAATGATGCAACAATCAACAACATCAACAGTGTGGGATGTACATAAAGGTAATATGGTTATAATACAACAGTAATCAGGCATGGACGATGCCCAGAGCCTCGTGTTCATGCTATACCTGAAGGTTTCAAGCATACATCAGCCATGCTTTATAGGATTGTTCAGCAAGGATGTATTGGAAACAAAAGATTTCTAATGGTGCAGACAATTTAATAAAGAAACTATCTGCATTATTATTCAAACACATCCTTTGCATATTGTCATCATCTTTAGAGCCACTTCAGGATCGTGCCTCTTTGAGTGAAACATTATTTTTATTTAATTAATTTAACAAGTGATAGTAGTTTGAAATATATATTATGAATATATTTCTAGTGGTTGTCATTCTCCATGTTCAGATGAGCTGCTTGCTGAGAGGAACATTTTACCAGATACAAATTGCAAACGTGTTTGGTGTCAATCAGACTCAAGGTGAGGTTGGATTACTCAGACAGAAGCTTCTCATGCATTTTACTGCCGGTTTTAATCTTGAGCTCACACCGGGAGAAAAGTAATGGCATCAAGTTTGCTGTGTGTGTGTGTGTTTACAGTACCTGTAAGGAACACTTTTAAGTTGCGTTTGTTCCACACTTTATGTTCAGTTAAGGATGAAAAACAAACAGTTTCATACCACAAACATATTTCATTGCTTATTCATCTGAGAGACGTCAGAGAGGAAGTTAGTGAGGTTAAATATGACCTCATGTTTTAATCATTTTTACTAGCATTTTTTATCGATCCAGCTTTCATGGTAAGGCAAACTGAGCGCTAACCTTTAAGCAATCTTCACTCTTCAAACTCAGTCAATGAATTAAGTTCAAATAAAAGTCTGGAGTTCAGAACAGGAGATGTACAAATCATGGAGGTCTTCCAGTCAATAGAGAATATTTTCCAAATGCAGTGAAAGTGTGTTTGTGTCTGTGTCTGTTTAGTATCCCAGCAGATCCTGCCATCAGATCAATAATAAATCACACATCAGGCTTTGCTTTAAACACTAAGCCCCTGTGCTCATAGCTCCATTGACATGATGAAAGCTCATGAAAAAGCAGATTCAAACTGTCATGACAGGCGAACGCAGCAACAGACCAAAACATGTTAGAAACTCTCTGCTCTTCAATAATTCAGAAACCCAGCTGCTGAGTCTTAACAGCCGTACATGTTTACATAAACATTAATATTATCACATCTTTTGGAATACAAGCAGTACACTTCAGCCCTGAACACAGTTTCCCCGCTACAGCCAGCTGCCATACACTGTGCATCAAATATGCCTTGTGTAAAGTATTAGCGTCAAATATTTCAATAGCTTATTTCAGTTAGCTGTATGTCAGGTGGTGGAGTTTGACAGTGAACTCTGCAAACTGAGGGAAATGTTTAAAAAGCATCTTTTAAAATGTGAGAAACATTATTCCCTAAGAGAGAGCATTTCAGACTCAAGTATCACCGACTGAGCGGGTGACATCCTACAAATGCATTTCTCTGTGATTAGATGGTGATCTATCTAACAAATTAATTATGTACTGGATGATGGTGTTGCCACTATTCTCTACACTTCACTCTTAAGATCCAGGGTTGGCTGCCTCTGTCATTTAGGAGAGACTTCCACTCCTGAGTCTATACGCAGGTCAGGGGGTTCCTAATCTAAAAAAAAGATACTCAGATGGAATAAATTTCAGCAGGAACTGGAGTTAAATTGCCTGATTTTTGTTTAATTCAGATTTTAAAGGTCACTATACAGCTACCTGCACTGAAGTCAAGTAAAGCATATACCTCTATCTATCTTCTATCTTTAAGGTTAACTTGGCCTTTATCCCATATTATTACACATATTTAATACTGGTTTGATGCCCTTTTTACATTTTCACCACCTATCCTTATCTTTCATTTTAAGTTTTGTAACTTTTAATGTTGGTTAAATTGAACAGCTCAGTACAGAAGCCCTGAAAAGCAAGTGATTATTTTGTTTTTGCCAGGATCGTTTCATCAAGTTTGTTTTCATCTGTGAAAACAGGTGTTTTTTTCCAAGCTCATTTTCTCTCTCTCTCTCTCTCTCTCTCTCTCTCTTGAAAATAAGTGAGGAAAAAACTTTTTGTCCTTCTTTTACCAAATGTTTGTTTTTGTAATACTCATTTCGGCCACAAGAGGCTAAAGTGCACCTCTACCGCAGTGTAAATCAGACTAAAAGCATTCATGTTTCCTTCTAGGACATCTTTAATTTCTCCATGTGCTCACAGGGTGCATATAAAGTTATGTAACATCACTGTTCTGTTCCTTCTTTTGGCCACAAATGTATTCTAATGTGTGAAGGCTTTCTGCCAGAAA